CAATAAAGATACTGCTTTCATGATTTTTTTTTCCTAACTTTACTAAGAACGTTTTTTGGTGGAAAATTTTCGTTACAGCCAGATACATTGCAAGTGAAGTATTGCCCAATTTTGTTTCAAATTCTTATACTAGGAAATCTGTTAGGCCTTTTTGAGGTGATATGCGGCTGTCTATCAAGAAGAGAAAAGTGTATCCTCTCAGACGATGTAGTCGCATCCATTGTATGAAGAAATGGATCGAGATTATTTATGAGTATATTGAAATACGCTGAGTAACTAAGTATCCTTTGTCAACTACCACTTTAAGTTGAAGAGCTTAGTATTTAAATTATTTCTGGGAAATTAAATGGACTTTTGAATCTCGCCACGCAATTTCCGCCGTCCCTTTTTTAAATTAATGATTTTTATCATATGGTTAGGCATCTTGTATATATGTAAATAATTTTAGTGAAATTATATGTGAAACTGTAGTATCTCTTGTATAATATAACGTACAAAGCCTCAAGAGAGTGAAACTTAGCCGAAGAAATACGGTTACAGGGCCAAGACCATTTAGCATTCAGGTAAATGGCTTCAATATGGATTTTTGGCGACTAATTATTATCTCCAAATTTAGAGATAAATCACCCAATGGTCGCCAAACCAATTTGGCGACATTTTGGTCCGACCCCTGTGTTACTATAACTGGTCCTATCTCTACGTAACTGTAACTGTATATGTCTTTCAGCAATTTCGAGAAATCGATTTAGCTCAAAGCATTGAAAGTAGTGAAAGATCGATTGCGAGCTTACGCATTGAGACTTTTTATATTGTTTTGTGTTTAACATTCTTAGTCGTTTGAAGATTGTACTCTGTCATACTAAGAAGAGCCGTGCGTACGTAACAATATTCGTATTTAGTTATTTAGTTTCTGATGCAAACTTCCACGGAGGTGATTATTGCCAAAAAATTTCTATTCACCCCTTGCGTCTGCGCACTGCTGAAAAGAAAGAGATGTGCAATGTTGTTTAATCGCCAGTAGAAGCTACGCATAATCCTAAGTATCTTCCTGGGTTAATCTTTGAATTATGGTAACTTGGCGAATTTTTGGCGAAAATTTGGCGACCAACTCTGCTACAGCAACCTGCTAGTTTTTTTTTTTTTTTTTTTTGACGCCATTTTGTTTTCACGAAGTAAAGGCATTTTTTTTAACTCAACATTTTTTCTCACCAATTTGATAGCCGAATTACACTTATACTAGAACTTTTATGGAACAAAAATGCTTAATAATGACGTAGTTTAGGTGCGAAATTGGGAGAAAGTGCAGAATCGCCCACTGCTTGCCGCGTTTTTAAGAATTGCACATACACGGTATCCATGTACACGTCTACCTGTTTTCACTTAAAAAACCATCCCAGAATTGCACAAAAATGGCATTGCGCACACTCTTGACTTTATCCATGTACACTGCTAAAGTCCTAGCTAGTAACCTTTATCGCCTTACCAAAATGTCGCCAAACTACCTGTTACCATATTCCAAAGATTAGCATCTTCCTGATGTGGCTATCCGTGTGGTTATCGCCCTGCATATCATCGTATCTGTAGCTGTAGCTGTCTCCATCGTGTGCACGTGTTTCGATGCTCGGTATGCTGATGTGGCTTAGCTGTCGAAGACAAAAACGGGAGGCATAATTCACAAGTGCACATCTGTATCGCAACTGAGGGAGGGGTCTCGATAATGGACCAATGAGCTTCTATTGCTCTTGTGACGCTGAATCTTTGAAACTGTGCATATGAGCGCATGTTGTTGTTTGCGATTTATTGTACATTTCTTTCGCAGTTATATATGTATGGCGTATAAATGCTGATACTACCGTTTTAGTAGAAAATCTCGTCGTGTTTTCTTTTATAAGTTTATTTAATCGTTAACATTTCACTTTCGTGAAACATATCACGTATTGATATTCGGATTAAAGTTCGTGGCATATGATCGCTCCTTATATGGAGAAAATGACAATTAGCCACGAGTATTATGCGTTTACTAACAGTTTCGTTACTAACGCCTGTCCTAACAAGTGTACAATTTTTTCATTGAGCTGAGAATACCTGAAAGTGTTACAACGAATCTAGTATTTTCTTATCTCAATTCTTGCATTACTTTGATTTTGAAAGAGTACGATTCAAAATATATACTATGAATAATCTAATTATACCTGATGTTAACATTAAAAGTTACATATGAATAAATTAAAAATATTTGTTGGGAGTGAGATTCATCCATTCTGTTTGAAAAGTATTTCTTGTGCAGGCAATGCTTTTAAGAGTGATTTAACACACTTAATGTGTAGGAATGCAAACTAAGAAAATTTACTTTGAGTAAAACTGTGCATTGTCTATTGTTATAGAACATCTCTTTCATATAGACTGCCATAAAAATTGCTAAGACTTCTACTATTTGCATATATAAGTATGCTTATATTTGATCTACCTTCGCACTGAGGATTTTCACAAGAAATCCACTATGCATCAATTATTTTATACAGAGGCGTAGCTAGAGGGAGGCATCTGTCCCCGGGCGCAGAATCCAAGGTGCGCCAAACTGATGTTACGACATTTTAGAATTAAATGTTTTCCATCCTTGGCAAGCAGTAGGGGGCGCGAAATCTTCAGTTGTACCCAGGGGCGTAGCTAGAACTTTCAGCGCCCGGGGACAAACTGAAGAATTTGCGCCCCTTTCTGTGTGCCAAGATTGGAAAACATTTCATTAAAAAATTTCGTAGCATCAGTTTGGCGCCCTTTGGATGCTGCGCCCGGGGACAGATGTCCCCCCTTGCCCCACCCTAGCTACGCCACTGGTTGTACCTGGGCGCTGAAAACCCTAGCTACGACTCTGATTTTGTACAGAAAATTGCATGGTAAAACATTTTCAATCATTGCTTAAAGCGCGGCAAAAGTCATGTAAAATGCCAGAAATGTTTCTGGAAGCTCATTGGTCCATTCTAGAAGACATTCCTTCGGTGGCTGTACAGATGTGCACTTACGAAATATGCAAACGGGAATAAAAGTACAACAAGGTGTGATATTCGAATCTCTGACAACATTAATCATGAAGCCACACGTGCAATTATACTCAAGTACCTGACGGCGGATATAATGCCCAGTAGACTTGAAAATATGAAGCAGAAGTTATCATTGTCAAGTTATCTATTAATCACATCTAGTTTTTTACTTTCTTGTACGAAGGTATAGCAATAGCGAAAAATTTCGTTCAATCCATTTTGACGCTATCGAATGCAGTTTAACGATGTTTTTGCATGACATGTGTACGTAAGGACAGAATAAAGGATTCTTTTCCCCCCAAAAATTGATTTAAAATGGATTCTGAAGAAATTTTTTGTGGCGTCTGTATGTACGTACGTACGTACTCGCCTCAGTGAGCTCAATTTCTTTATTCTTTATTTTTTATATATGTTTGTAAATTGGGAATTTTTTGCTTTAAAAATGATTGGATTCGGTTGTTCTTATCTTCCGGTTAAGGTTTTTATGATTTTAGCTAACCTGCATGTTATAGTTGTAGAATTATCAACAATTTAAAGGTTGTTTAAGTGCGGCTAAACCTTTTTTTTTTTTTTTTTTTTACATAACATCCATATTTGCTTACATTTGAAACTTAGCAGAATAGTGGATTTGTTGCCAATCTAGAGAAACTAAGCTTCGCAACAACAAAGTAATGTCTTCCTTTATTGTTGCGAATTAAATTATGCTTAATCCATTCTGGAATTGTTATTTAAGTTATTAAATTATCCCATATATTGACTCAGCATAGCGTCCACAACAAATTAAGTCAGTTTCTACGTCTTCTGTGTCTTTTTGCCGAGTGAGACCAAAAGTAAATTTTTCAGTTTTGTGCACCGAAAAATATGTCTTCTTGCCCGTTGGCAGAATTGCTAGTTTTTGCGTAGAAACTGTAATTTTAATTGCAAAAATTTTTTTAATTGTATTTGGTGTTTTCTGTTTTTCTTTATCTTTGAATTTTTTAATGATGATATTTTGTGTTTTTATTATTTTTGCCTTGCCGCGAAGGAAGAACTGAATTAATTGAATGAGAAATACATCTCTAATGAAAGTCGAGGAAATAAGTGTTTCATATTAGCAGAAAATACTGTCGCCAGTCTGTTTCGGACAGAGGATAATGTTTACGAGTATCGCGTGCGCATTAGATAAGCGGCGCTGAATCGTCTGTAAAAAAAGTTTCCTTTTTTATTTATTTGTTTAATTTCTTTTATAATTCGTTTTAGATTTATTATAGTATTTGAATAGAGAACATTTGGTAATTCTTCAGATGATATAATTTTTGTTACTAAAGTTACTGTTTTTTGAGTTATAAAATGAATGACATGTAACGCTGTTAACTGAACCTAGCTCCGGACACACCAGATTTTTTTTTCATATGTCATGGGTTGATATGCATTGTTCATCTGTCCTGTTAAGTCTAAAACAAGAAATGGAAAAACGGAGGTATCACTGTAAATTCCAAACGGCTGAAGAAATTTTGTATATCCATTAAATTTTGATTCAAAAGGTTTACCAATTAAAAGTTCATTAAAACCTATCCCTCTGTCTGTATAGATTTGTTATCTCTCCAAATTATTTATTGGATCTAAAATACAGAGATACAGTTGTGCTATTAAGTCTACAGGAATACCAACTTATTCTATTATTCATTTGCATCCAGTACTCTGGAGTGCAAAATTCTACTAGGTAACCACAACTCTGCACCAGTTTAAAACAACCTTTTCTTGATTTACATGAAAAGGAAATTTTCTGTACATAATTTGTTTATGGATTAATTTTATTTTTATTAGTTCTCTATCTCTATACCATATTTTTTTCAAAAATAAATAAGTAATCATACTTTTTTCCTTGGCTTCTTAAAAAAGTAAATTACGATTATAATCATATTTTCAGAAGTGCAAATGAAGTACATATAGCTGACAATTTTATGAAAAGTAAATCAAATGGCAAGGTACATAAAGTACAGTTTATTAACCAATATACTGTGTATACAAATTCAGAAACTTTTGAACCATACCAATAGATACACAGACTAGATATTTTGAATTATTTTGTTCATCTTATTTAAAAAAAAAACCCTTATAAAACACGATCTCTCTTGAATATACAGTTTTAGCTCTTTCAAAAGAAGAAAAGTTTACATTTGAAGATATGTATTCTTTTCTTGATGAATTTAATCGCTACGAACTGTCTCAGAAAGTTTAAATCATTTAAACGAGCAAGATTTTCCTGCAGATATTTTATGATTGGCAACCCAAGTTTATACTTGACACATATATTTTTCAAAACATTTCACGTTTGAATTTTCATATATAATTTCTGTCAACTTATTCAAAGTGTTCTATATAGCAAAGAAATGGAGAATTATCACGATTTAACACAAAACTTACAGAATTTTGATAAGTTATCTAACGCACCACAAAAATGTTGTATTAGTGTTTCAACACTTTTAACAAAACAATATTTGAACATATTTAACATGCTTCAAAGTGACAACAATGGATTGCACAGTGATTTGTCACTCAGGATGTCCAAGTGTGACATCATTGCTTCAAGCTTCAATTTCTTCAACAATCTGGCAGGAACATGCTACAGGGAGCTTATATACATCATTGTGAACACCTCGTTCAGGACTCCAGGATAAGAAGCGCTGCAAAGTAAATTTCTGAACGCAAGTAGTCTTTATCCTGTTATCTGTGTAACTGCATGGTTCTCCACTTTCCCTGAAAAGCAGAATTAAAGTCACAGTTAAAATGGCGCTTTAAAATGGTGCACATTATAGAAATGTTTTACTATAATCTAATAACATCTTGTATTTCCTCATTAGCAATATGAGATAAAGATTTACCTTTTTCGGTACTGTTCGGTTTCGAGGGCCGTAAAAAAATTGCAGCGAAAATGTACGCGCAAAAGCGCCAAATCTAGCAAACGCGCCCATTTAACAGCGCGCCAAATCTAGCGTACGCGCTGATTTCAGATTCCGTAAGTTTATATAGTTCTACATTTCTTAACACGCCATTGAAATACTAGCTTAATTTCTGAATCCTTTTTTGATATCCTATGCATTTAACAATTGCGAATTGCCCATGACGAAAAGTCGGCAATAGAATTTTGGGTAAAGTGCAGAATCACCCACTGCTTGAAGCGTTTTTAAGAATTGCACATACTCGGTATCCATGTACACATCGACCTATTTACTTTTAAAAAAAATCCTAGAATTGCACAAAAATGGCACTGCGCACACCCTTAACTTTATTTATGTACACATCGACCTATTTTCACTTAAAAAGTAAAAGAAAATTGACAAAAATCTAATTGTTTTTATCCTTGTAAAAAGCGGCGAACAAATAAGTGAGCGATTCTGCACTTTACCGAGAATATTTTCAAAGAACAGGCATCATTCATTATAGAAAATTACGTTTGAAGAACCAACGAGATGAAATTATGCTTTAGCGATAAGTCGGTAGCGAAATAGCGATGCAGGCATCCATTCAGTTAGGTTTAGCAATTTTTATATAAATTATAATAATGATTTGAAATAGTTATTTACTCTTATGCTTCCATTTAGTCATGTTAAGCCTTTTTCATATAAATTATAATAATAAAAATGTATTATATGACATTAACCTTTCATCTAAATTAAAACATCAATCTTAGATAGTTATTTACTATTATACTCAGGGATAAATAGAAGGGCTAGCTAGCAGTATAAAAATTCTTTCAGTTAGCATGCAAACAAAGAAATGATTAGAAATAACGTGCATTAAATAAAAATAAAAATAAAATAAAATAAAATAAAATAAAATAAAAAAAAACTTGGAACTTAATGTTAAAAGAGTAGCACATTTTATCTATTATTTTAAAATTGAGTAAGCATTATTAAATTTTTTAATGGTTCAGTCAAAAAAAAAAAAAAAAAAAAAAAAAAAAAAAAAAAAAAAAAAAAAAAAAAAAAAGAAAAAAAAAAAAAAAACAAAAAAAAAAAAAAAAAAAGTAACATTGCCTCTTCCAAATTATAGCTATCTTTCACACACAGCTCATTTTAAACGCTGGTTCAAAAACGCTAATTTCAAAGCTGTGAATTATATTGTCGCGCTCAGTGTCATCATGGCTACGTCATCACTTCTCACTTTCTGCTTCAGGGGGAAAAGCTCTATGAGCTAGCCCTTCTCTTCTAAGTCCTGATTATACTTCCTTTCTTGCCGCAATTATTTTTGGCAGCATTGGCATTAACAATAGTTTGGCGATTTTTTACGGCCCTCGAAACAGAATAGTAAACCTTTTTCAATATAATCGTCTGCCTCTGTTTTGGTTTGATTAGAATGCAGAATAAGGTTTGTTTTTTTTTTTTTTTTTTTTTTTTTTTTTTTTTTTTTAAATGGCTTGGAAGTTAAAGTAAGTGCACTTTCCAAAGAAAATATTTGTATAAAACAAATTGTAAAGGGATGTAAAAATCGAGGTTATTGCATTTCAAAGAAAGGTAGTTTTAGCCCAAGGTAGTTTTCTGGCTAATACCTTTTCTGGCCAAAGGTATTAGCCAGAAAAGCTGTTAATTTCGTTTTGACATTTTGTGGCGTTACACTATAAACGGCGTTTCTTTTTTCAAATTGTTGCCACCAAATATTAACGCTCTGTATTATATTTAAAATAATTAAATAATGAAGAATCTGTATGAATGTATGTATGTTTCTCGCATTGTGAAAGAACAACGGTACCTATCCAATTTTGAATAACGTACTTCTCCACCCGAATATACAAGGATCAAAAGGTTTCGTGAAGGCAGAGATTTAGTGCAAGAGGATCCCAGAGCTGATACCGATGCGTCGAGCGTGTGGAAAGATGAAGAATTTCTGCTGCACTATTGGATAGAGCCAGAGGTGATCTCACATTTGTGTCAAAGATTATTGTGATTTTTTGTTTTTGTTTTGTTTTGTTTCCGTGAGTCAGAAGGTGACTGAAAGGAAAGCTTCATCAAGATTATTACAGACATCCAAAACGGGGTGTGACAAATGAGCTTGCAAACATCGCAGCTGAAGATTTACCCACTTGCTTCCAAGACCTCCAGTAATGTTGGCAGTTGTGTATATATAGCTAAGGGGAATGTTTTGACAGCAGCTAGGATGATTACTTTATAAGGTATTTTACCCACCTTCTTGGCATGCCTTCCCGGTGTGGTGGTCTGCACGCTGGACGCGTATTCCAGAGGTCCGCGTTTCGATTCCCGGCGAAGGCGTTTACTCATTTTTCATCTTTTCTGCTTCCAAATAATCTAATGTTTCTATAAGTGGCGCCCGAACTAAAAGAGTGGTGGATGATGATTCTCCACACCCTTAAAAACACCAGTCGCCCTTTAAAAGAGAGCGGATATAAGGTACTTCTCTTACCTTCTTGGCATGCCTTCGTGGTGTGGTAGTTTACAAGATGGGCGGGTATTTCAGAGGTCCGCGGTTCGATTCCCGGCGAAGGCGTTGCTAATTTTTCATCTTGCCTGCTTCCAAAAATGCCTAATGTCTCAACAACTTAGTAAATGCAATTTTCTATTTTTTTTACCACCTTTGTCCTGGAACTTTTCTGACAAAATACGTAGAAAGGCCATTTCTATATTTGTTCCCTTTTTAGAATATTTAACTTGCTTTCATAATGTATAACAGTAAACCAGTAATTATATGATAATGATAAGAATGGGAGTGGTGTAGGTGGTGGATACGATAGTAGATGAGATAAGTAGTCAGAACATCATGTGCAATGAATGGTTTAATGTTTTTTGCTTCTATTACAAAGTAATACATATTCAATATTCTTACCTGCAAACTTCCAGTCTTACCGGCTGGATGAACCTTCCTCTTCCTATAGCTCTCTCCATGTTAACGATGACTTTCCATTTTCCCAAGACATTTTTGGCTCTTAGCGGCGTTCCATACTTGATATCTGATTTACAAATATAGTTTTCTTCAGTTTTAGTGTCTTCTTCGGAGCTATTTTGCCCTATAAGATTTATCTTCTCCAGCTGTTGGTCAGGCATTACCAAACGTTCCAGCAAGAAGGAATCAGAATTCAAAACGTACATAAGTTCTCGCCTAGAAAGAAACGGTACTAAAATGAAAACGGTGTTATGGCGGAAGTGAGTTTATATAGTTACAATACAGTAATTTATTGCTGCATAAATATAAAAATTTATGAAACATTATATTATGAAACATCGTGTTGGCATTTTGCGTCGATTCACTACAGACGTTGATTCACTTTTCAAATTGTTGCAACCCTATATTATCGCCTTGTATTATAGTTAAAGAAATTAAATCATGAAGAATCTGCATGAATGTATGTATGTTTCTTGCGTTGTGATGAAACAATGGTATCTAGAGCCATCAAAATTTGAATAACGTGATCTTCCATAGAATATGGGCATGCGGAAGCCCTAATTTGAATTAGAAATTTTTTTTTATTATCGATTTCATATTTTGTAACACTTCAACAAATTTTTGATTAATAAACTGAACGATTTCAAAGCGAGCAATGGCAATACTGCACGGGAGGAAAAAAGAAAAACATTTTTATCTCCAGCGCGCGAGACTGTATATCGGAAATTCCAAATTTATCTTGACGTATTTTTCCATGTTGTGCCAAGAATGATTCACTTGGCGAACTGCTTAATTTATAGCAACCTAGTTTCCTATCCTTTTTCTCATTGTAAACGAGCGGAAAAAAAAAGGTCATCCTTCATTATTTGAAATAATTTTAAGAAAGTGAGTAAACCACACTTGACGTTATTATCGGTTATAATAAATATGAAAAATTTCAAAACGCGCCAATGTGTAAATTCACGTATATTCTCGGAAATTTTGAATAAAATTACTATTTATTCAAAATTTCCGAGAACAAATTGCTCTACTTTTTTGAAGGTATACATAGAACTACATGTACTTTAAGATGACAGAAAAATGTTATAGGTTATAAATCATAATATATTTCGAAAAATTTATAAAAATTGTTTAAAAAATACAAATTAAAAAAATAAATCATAAAAAATGGATGAATTATATTTGTAATGAACCTAAATTTCGAATTCTCGGAGAAGGCATCAGGTAAAAAAGAGAAATTAATAAATATATATAAAATTAAACTAGCATCGAGGAGCTAACATTTTGAGAGTTACACTGGTTATCATAAATTAAGGAAAAATCGCAAAAATCACGATTACTGAAAAAGTTACATGTAGAATTTTATGAAACTTACCCACAATATACAACACACAGTAAGGTATCAAAACATAAAAAGAAATTACCAGACAATTATGGTAGTATAGAAATTAGCACATGTATAAAATGAACAAATCGAAGATGTCAGTTTGCTATAGTAAAAGTATCTTCAATATGGCATATAATCGCCTCTAGAAGCAATACAGCACATTCAGCGATGTATGATGCTTTCAATTATGCGGTCTATCAGTTCCATAGGAAACGAGAACCATTGCTCTTGCAAAGCAGTTGCAAGCGCGGCAAGGGTCTAAGGTGGCGGATTGAGAGCAGCTAAACGTCTCCCTAAAGCATCCCAAACGTGCTCGATAGAATTCAAGCCCGGGGATCGAACTGGCCACTCCATGCGCATAATTGTTTCCTGTTGAAGATAATCATCTACGATACGAGCCTTGTGTGGTATTGCATTGTCGTCCTGTAACAGGAAAGCATCACCTATTGCCCCAGCATATGGGCGCACATAAGCATCAAGGATGTCATCTCTATATACATGAGCATTCACGGTTCCCCTTGGAAAAATATGTAGCTCTGTGCGTCCACCCAAAGAGATGCCGCCCCAAACACAGACACTACCTCTTCCGTATGCATCTTTCACGGATGTTTGACGGATAACGGCTTCCAGGTTCTCTCCATATCAAAAAATGCCTACTATCGCGTTCTAGACTAAACCTGGACTCATCCGTAAAGAGAATAGCCCTCCATTGCGCAGGCGTCCAGTGGACATGTTCGCGTGCCCACTGCAAACGGTCTTTCCTATGGCGTGACTTGAGCAGCACGCAAATGGTTGTTCGCCTCGCATAGAGACCACCTTCGTGAAGCCTTCTACGTACAGTTGAAGTGGACACCAACCTTTCGGTGGCTGCAGCAAGGGAGGATCTAAGAAGAGTCGGAGTAGAGGTTCTATTCCTGCGTGCACATAATGTCAAATATCGGTCATCGGCGCTCGTCGTAGCCTGTGGCTGTCCTTGGTTGAACCTCCTAGGTGCCGAATCTGTGATTTGAAATTGCCTCTAAAGTCTATGAACCACAGAAGGACTCACATTTAGCCATCTGGCCACTTCTGTTTGACTTTGTCCTGCCTCTAGTCTCCCAATGGCTCTCCATCGCAGTTCTGCAGGCAAATGATGCCTGGAGGTCATTGTTACGAATTGGTTATCTCAGATTTTTGATGTCACTATCACAGTGAAATATGTGGGCTTGCTCTCAAACACGGACTTTTATGCTCCTCGCCAATGACGTATTCCGAGTGCAGTGCCACTAATTTGCATATTGGATTTTACTCAGCTACTCTTACTTGGCAACATATTCAAATTTTACACGGTTGGCTTATTTTTGAGGGAGTTATCGCTATTTTTGTGGTTTTTCCTTAATTTATGATATAAAACTACTCAAAAACTACTCGTGCGACTTTTACAAACTTTACTTTATTTTATTATTACTTTATTTTACTTTTTATTTTGTATATTACTTGGCAGTGGGGCATCATTTGGTCGTAGAATCCAAATATGGAAAATAATTGGCATGTCATTTCAGAAAAAGTCGGATTTTGTGTCAAAATACCTGTATTAGAACAATGGTAAATATAATCTATATCCTAAGTCGCGCTTTCGAGATATGAAAAACGGAAGTTGAATTTCGTTAATTGGCCGAAGACGACGGGAGATATAGAACTGTCTTTTTTTTTTTTTTTTTTCGCAGTGTACCTCTCCACGGTGCATGCATAACAATAAAATCCACGACGAGCTGAACGCAGATCCAAAGTTTTTACTATAACACCAAATATAACCAAATAATTTCATAAAAAAATCTAGTTTAATTGGCAATAAATATATAAATATATATGACGCGCCGCGCAAACGGGTTAATGGTTCGTGACTCTGACTGTAGTGCCGAAAGACCTGGGTTCGAATTTTGGAGCAGGCATAGATGTATAAAATCCGTGCGGCATGGGGACACTCTAAATGTGCGGGGAACTGAAAGTCTCTTTGCAAAGTTGGTGGCAGGTGAACAGAGGTGGGAGACTCTTCGGACCCGTCCCTTTCGCGTAATGGCAGACCGCACATTGAGTTGAACAGTGTTAAACGAATGTCGCATACTGCGCATGCCCAGAAAACAATTTGGCGTAATTACTATGTTGGCGCGATTTGAAAAGAAGATAAATACGGTATATGGTAGATGTACCGCCATCTGTTTGTAAACAAATCTGGCGTTTAAACCTTCGTAGAGTATAATGTAAATGTAAATTAATTACTCTGTTAAAATACTATTTTTTGCTGTACTGCTCAAACAACTAGAAAGCTGAAATTATTGCGAAGTAATGTGAAGCAGTGTTTTTCATTCAAAATGTAAAATAGAATACCTATAAAATTCTGCACATTCCTTTGGAACTGTACAAATTTTCGTTCCGAAAAAGACTGAAATTTAGGATATATTAGTTGAAAATTTATTCATTATACTTTTAAGCAATAAAAACAATTTGGGATTTACCATACGTCCCATTCGTACATACATAAAGAAACACCGAGGAATATAACAAGTGCTTGCAAATAACACTGAAGAAATTTTACAATTCTTTAATAACGCTAGTTATTAAATTCTTTGAAATGAGAAAATAAAAGCGCGAATATATGCTAACAAACTAAGCGAGATACTCCAGTTTACAATTACTGAATTATAACATGTAAACAAATTACATTTAAATAACGAATTATTACGAACATATGTTAACAAATATTAAATGCACTGTTATTGACAAATTACAATGAAATATATATTAGAAAAATAAGCAAGTGAAATCGGTATGGACGTTAAAAATAACTAATAAGCAAAGTTCCACAACATTACAGTTTAAGCTAGCGTAGGGTTGCTTAGTCGCCAATATTTCTCCCCCGCGCCATCAAGCATGCGCAGTAAGCGAAATTTGCTTAACATTGTTCAACTCAATGTGCGGTCTGCCATTACGCGTCCCTTTCCCCTTAAAATTGGGAGGGGGGACTGAGCAGTACCATACATTATTATTATTAATATTTACGTGTTCCGCCCTAAGGCACTACCCGGAAGAGAGGAATCCCGTAGTGGAAGACTTTATAAGTGAAACTGGCTCGTGAAAACCACGAAAACTCCCATGCAACCAGCCAGTTAGCGGGATTCGAACCTCGGACCGAAATACCAGTGTTCAGGGATTTTACCGCTCGGTTGCTGATGGGCCCCAGCAGTACTGTATAGGTGACTGTACCTATGTGGTGCTGCTCAAGGCTCATGTCAATGACAGGCGCATTTGATTCTTGCCACAATGAACAACGTGGGCTTGTGCTGATTATTGGCAGGGAAGTGAGATTGATAACAACAACAACAACATATATTAATTTAGAAGTCAAAACAACAAAAATGAGCGTTATATTTGTAAATTTTCGCACGACTAGTTTCGATGGTTTTCCCAAACCATCAGCCTCAGCTGCTAAAGCGAAAATGAACGAGATAAGCTATAGTGATTAAATAAAATAAGATAAGAAAAGCTGGACAAGGAGTTAAGCTACTGGCGTCATCTATTGATGAAACGTAATTTCATAAAAAATTCTAACATATTTTCCTTAAAGACTGAAGGCAAAGAGGGATTGGAATTGGGATCGTTAACTAGAACAGAATGATTTTTTTGAATGTAAAGCTCCTCAAGAAAATCTAATTCACCAATGGAAGATGTTTTCTGATTAATTTTGGCTGCAGAAAAATTGAAAGTATGGTTTTTGGACCAACAATGTTGGGCAACAGAGGACTTTCATGTTTCCGTTTCCCTAAGATATGCCTCATGTTTCTTAACACGA